TTTTTTAGGGGTTTTTTTTGTTTTTGTTTTTTTTGCATTTCCACGGAAACAAGACCGCCTCCCAGCTTTATTAGCAGTTATAAGTTTCTCCACCTGTGACATTGCAAACAGGTAGCCAGTGCGCTGAAACTTTCGCCCACTCGCTGCTCACTTCTTCCAGGTTAAGGGTGAAGGGGAGAATCACTACATGCCGCAGACACAGATGTTATGAAGTTATGCGTCAAAATGTGTTTTAGCCAATTTAAAAGTCAGTTTGAGTGTAGGCTGTATTTTGTGGTGCTTAGCACCTCTGTCAGCAAGTCTAAATATAGCCTACAGTTAGTCAAGCTAACACTTGCTTTATCTGCTTTAGTGTTACTAAACTATGCTATTTACTGAGACGCTCGAGCCAAATAAGTCAAGCAGCTGGTCTGCACCACTGAAATCTGGATTATGCAGGCAAACAGATCTTTCTGTTCAAGTGTCAAAAACAAAAATCGTGCCGAGATTTCAGCTGGATTTAAAACTAAAGTGATTGCTCAGAGAGAAAGTTGGCGCTCTAACCCCGGTGCCTAAAAACCCTGAAACTTTAAATGCACATTTATCGGAACAGTTTCTGTCTGCTAGCCCTCGCTCGGGCCTAAAGTCGAGCACAAGCTGGAAAAAATCAGATGAAGTTAACAGTGAATATGAGCTGTAAACATGACTGAATTGGTAAATGATGCTGAATTTCACTGTTGTTCGTCTTGACAGTGAAGGAAAAGGGAGAACCCAAACCCAGGCAGCACACCATCGACCTTAGCCAGATGGCTGTGCCCATCCAGTTGGCCCAGGAGAAGAAGCCCAGCCCTGAATCCCCCAAACCCTCTACCTCAGAGGCCGAACCCACCGCTGAATACGTCGCAGGAGGTAGTCCTCTCCATCATGCTTCATATTCAGCACTTTGCAGTTCCTGTTTTGTTTGCCTCAGGATTGTTGACTGAAATGTGATGTGTAACCGCTGGTTTAAAAAAACAAAAACTGTCCGCTCCTCAGAAGCGCAGCCTGTAGTGCACGTGGTGTCCTCCAGAGAGCAGGATTGGACTGAGCAGGAAGTAGCTGTGGAGTCCAGCCCCACCATCATCTACCAGGAGGTATCTGGCGGGGAATCCCAGTCGGCCACTTCCACCATAAAAGCTCTTCTTGAACTTCAGCAGACATCAGGTGAGCCATCACGTCACAGAAAAAGCTGCAGGTGTCACAGGAAGAGGAGAGGAGAGGTGGGGGTTTACCACCAGTGCACATGCTGATTCAGCAGAGTTCAGAGGAGCTCGAAAAAACAGCTCGAATCAGCTTCATCAGAAATACAAACACAGGTGGTGTTCGCCTCAAGTGTCAAACAAATTTTCCGCACATTCTTGAAACTGCCGAAGCACGAAGAGCTGCTGGCCAACAGTAATTATGCATTTCGTGCTCGAGGCTTTGCTTAGATAGTGAGCTCATTGGATGGCAGACCTGTGGAACAGGACTGATGTAAGCAAATGCAAAGGTAAAGGTTTCCCATGGAATATTTGAAGGTGGGAATTTTTTTTTTAAATATTTAAATACTCACATTAGCGGCACCGCGGAGCAGCCGATAGATTTATCTGGCTGTGAGTGAAAATTCCCAAAGAGGTAATTGCTGTTTAGTGCGCAAAACCTGATCCATAATGAAGGTAATACCCAGTGTTGTCTGTAAAACTCTTTAGAGCGTTAATACTCAAAATACATAAATTTTTATAAAGCTGTCATGAACTGGAGACAACGAGCTT